AAGGTGATGAGGAATGGCCAAGTCCCCAACAGCCTGGGCTTTGATCATGAGTCCTCTGTGCTACCACACATCCTGTGGCTTGGTACTGTAGTTGCAGTCAGTGGAGGTAGCTTAGAGCCTCTGAATCCAGAGACAGTGTCAGAGACAACTTGGGCAGACTCAGCTTTTCTGATGAGAGGAGGTGGTGCCTCTTCAGAACACTGAACAAAAGCATTTGCTTGTTTTAAGGGATTCCTTGCAGGATGTTTGGACTCAGTCCTTGTCTGCAGCTAATGGTGGTTAGTCATACTAGCACTCCATCAGTGTATTAAAATGTTTAAATAAGAGTCTTTTCCTGGAGATTCCATGGTATAATCTTCTAAAATAATAAAAAAAGGAACCTTCTTTATTCATCATAGGCTGCTGTGGGATAAGCTCTGTCAGCTGATTCTGGGTATTGGAGTGCTTTTCTGTTTAAACTGATTTCTGTTCCGTTGCTGATGGCGTAGCCCTTTTTTTTGCTTTGTACAGGGCTGTCTGCTTTCCTTGGTGCGGACTGTCAGCTTTGAGCTCCCTTGTAGGCTGTTGCAGCAGCAGCAGTGATGATTAACTGAGAGTCACTGGGCTTTGCTTCTATGCTTGCCCTAAAAGCAGCAGTGAGCCAAATAGGGTAATCCCTGTAGGATGGAGTCCCATAACTCTAAGAAAAAACCCTGGCTGCTGCACCTGCCACACCACTGTCCCAGAAGGCTCTACCTGGTGTATTGGGTCCTCTGTAGAGAACCCCCTAGGACTACAGGCAGATGTTTAGTACTAGCAGGAGATAAAAGGAGCCTTTTGTCAAATGCAGATTTCTAGGTCTGTAAGGCATCTCAGCTCAGCTCGAGGGTCAGTGTGTTCCCTCAGTTCCCATGCTTGGGATCTCCATGTTGTCCCCTAGGATGCAGAAGGTGGTGCCAAAAGCTGACCTGTCATCCTGCTGGGACTAGGCAGCCAGGAACACTGGGGCACTACTTTCTCCTCTGTAATGCCAATGCACCAAAATGAATATCAGAATAAATGGAAATGATTCCTTGATCCTAATTTGCTTTAAAATTTCAAGTGGTACCTATTGGATACTGTCTGGCTTGTTTAATGTAGTCTGTAATAGCCTATGATGGCTGTATTTGATAGTCCTTATGAAAGAATTTCACTTTAAAATTAGTCCTTGGAGATTCAGTGTTGCGAGGCTGAAAATAAATGAATGTACTTACTGTGTCAGTTTTGTGGACCCTAGTGGCTGTTTTCCCAGCAGCTCTGCTCTCCTGTACCTCTCCTCTTGCACCCTTGTTCCAAGAATCCAGGAGGTATTGAGAGCAACTGTTGGGAGGAGCAGCATGTCTCCCTTGGTGTGTTGTGTCATGGAGGGCAAGAGGGAGCTGAAAGAGGAGGGAAAACCTTTCCCCCACCTCAAGCTTTGCATGTTTGCATAGAGTTGAATGTTGAAATTAAAGAGCTGCCACCACAAGGGAAGGTTGATAACTTTTCATTTGTGCTCAGCAGTTGCTGCTCTGTGAAACTCGGAAAGGAAAAGGTGCTGTGGGATGTTGCAGCCTCCCCAGAAGGTGGTGGTACTGCTCTCAGATGGACCTTCATGTTCCTCTTCATCCTCCTCAGCCACCAGCAAACACCAAGTGCAAAGATGTTGCTTTTCTCTCATGAATTCCTGAGGAAAGGCCTGCCACTTCTGTGTACTTATGCTGGGCTAGGTGGGCTGCAGCTGGAAGAGGGAAGAACCTGGGACGCCAGCCAGGTCTACAGGAGCACAAAATGCATATTGACATGGGGTTATGTATGCTCAACTGTGCTGTAAGCAACAAATTATTCCTGTGGCTTCCCAGTGATCTGTGATCATAGGGTCTGCTCTCCCATGCTCCTTTTCTTAGGAGGATGAGGGCAGCATAGAAAACCTGTCATTAAAGCCTCAATCCTTTGTTATCTCCTAAACCATCATGTGCTAATGCTACCCTGCATGCTTTCCTTGGAAATTATCCCTTCTCAGCATCACCTGTTACTAAACCCTCTTGCTCCCCAAAGGTCTCTACTTTGCAGTTTGTGTAAAGCCAAGGGCCAACCCTGAATTGTAGCAGATTCTTTTAAGTAGTTAATTTCTAATCTTGAGCAACTGAGTGAATTTTAAATAGGTGTGCTGTCACTGAAGGTGACTTTGAGCCTGTGGAGTTGCTCAGGTCTCTTGATCTCCTAGATCAAACACTGGCCATATAAATGGGAGTCACGTATCCCTGGGAATAAGAGACAGGGCTTGTACAGCTCAGGTGCTGCAGAGCTGAAGCTGAATTCCTAGCTTAGGCCCAACATCCCTAGCCGTTACTGCAATGGAACGCCAGTCTGAGTTCTGGACTGTGTCTGAGGGATGTGGACTGTAGCAAGATAAGAGTTCCCTCTGCTTTTTGGAAATGCTATGTTTCCTTAGACAAACCTGTGCCTGGAGGGTGCTATGATTGTGTGGATTTCACAGGACAAATGGGAGACCCCTTTTCAAACACTCACTTTGCATGATCCAAGTACATCTGAGCTCAGATTGTGACCTAGACCCAGCCGTAAAGCAAAAACAAAGTCAAAAACCCAAAGCTCAGATTGTAAGTTTCCTTCAGTTACACTGAAAGAAAAATTGAGTGGCAGAGCCCCCAGTGGCCTCTTAACAACCCTCACCCTGACAGCACAGAGGCCATAAAACACATAGAAGCCTGATAAGGCCTCCTGCAGTGGCTGTTTTCCCAGGAGATGTTCACAGGTGCTGTGCAGATATCCTCTGTGAGGCCCCCTGTGTGCAACCCTGAGGGATGTGGGACCTGCAACTCCCTTTTTCTGCGGAAAGGCAAGAAAAGTGTGTGGGATGCTGAGGGTCATGGTGTGCCTATGTCAGAGCTGGACTGTATGGACCACAAAAGCAAACCAGCCCTGCCATTGGGTTAGAGTCATGAATCGCTTGTCCTTTCTTTGCTTTCTGGATGGTGGAAGAGTTTCACCCGTTTTCCCAGCAGAAGATAAATTTTCTCTTCAAATACAAATGCGGGATCATGCAGTTTCTGTGTCAAGTTTCCAAGACTTCCAGGCTAAAGCTGTGAAGCCCAGCAGCCTTGTAGAGAGCAGCTAGAAAAGGTGGAGTCTGACCCTGCCTCCTTTCCAGGCAGCAGCCCTGACTGCTGTCACCTCAGCCCTGCCTGGATGAGCCATCCAGTCTCCAGGGTGGGAAACACCATCACACTTAAACTTGATCGTTGCTGCTGAGTTTGAAATGCTGGGTAAAAAACTGGCTGAATGGCCAGGCCCAAAGGGTGGTGGTGAATGGAGTTACATCCAGTTGGTGGCTGGTCACAAGTGGTGCTCCCTAGGGCTCAGTGTTGGGGCCAGTTCTGTTTAACATCTTTATCACTGACCTGGACAAGGGGATTGAGTGCACCCTCTGTTTGCAGATGACACAAAATTGGGCGAGAGAAATATACTTAGTATATATTTTTAAAGGCTGCAGAAAAAGCCAGGAGACAAAATGTTGCATTTGACCCAAAATAAAAGGTATTTCAGCTTTTTACTTCCATTTATCCTGCTTCTTGTAAGTCCCAAATTTATTTGTTTCATGATTTGCATGTTTTGTGTGTGGGTTGTTTTTTTTTTTTTCAATTCTGTAAGCAAACCAGAAATCATTTACTTGCCAGCTGTTTTCTGTGCTCCCAAGCTAAACTGTCTGCACAGCCTGTTAAACAAAGCTTGCTTTCTCCTGGGGGTTTGTTTTCTTAATATTTCTGCTGCTTATTTCCCCAATTGAGAATTACAATGGAAATAAGAGTTCAAAATGTCCATTTAGATCACTTGCTGAGCTTTGAATAGTCTGCTGTTGTTGGAGGCTCTAACATTTTAATGAATGTTTTTCTCTTGCAGGAACACTCCAGGACTCTGATATGCACCAAGATCTCTGATGGCAGGCACTACTTGCACAGAAACTTATGGGATCCCACTGCATAGGCAAGAGCCACACGTATGGGGAGGTACAGCACTGTTTTCTTTTGGCATTTGGGAATGGAGGATAGAAAGAACATCCTTTTCCAGCCTGGTATGCCAGCAGACTTGTGGGGTGTATTTGCAATTCCCTGCAGTTGCAGGAGGTGTCCATGGACTTAGATGTGGGCTTGCCTGAGCCCGGCCTTTCAACCATTGCTCGCCTGTGCATGGTTGCTCAGCCAGTCCCCCCTCAAGTCAGCCCAACCCAGAGAAATTCCTGCTTTGTTTGAAGTGTGGGGTCTCTCTCCCTGACCGCCTCGGAGGGCAAACTACAACCTTACATATACGTGCAGTTTGTAGCACTCTGTGGCTGTAACCTAGGCTCTGGTGCTTAGACAACGAACATCCAGAGGAAGCGTACTGCTGCTGCAGGAGTGTGCCCCATGAGGAGGGGGGTTGATAGCAGCTCTCTGTCCTGGCTCTTCTCCTGGCAGGGGGCTGGGGAAGCCCAGGTGGACCCTGTGTCATGGGGAGGGCCTGGTAATTGGGCTCAGGTGTAGAGGAGGTAGTAAAGGGAGACTTTCTGTCCCAAGGGGTTGAAAAGGTTTAGCCTTTGTGGCTGGGAAGGATTACTGGCTCTGTGTGTATTTAATAAAAGTGCAAAGGCATTTTTAAATCAAATTTTAAAGTGTATGTATTTGTTCTTTGGAATTCACACACACATTTTATTTGCCATTACTTGCTGAGTCTGAGCTTGTCCTTGTGACTGTGATAGCTAAAAACCTTTCTGGGAGACAACAGAATCTCCTGCTCCCAATTTCTTAATCTGAGGAGGAACGGAGATCTGGGAAGCCACTAGAAGGAGTTTGTAAGCTGGGCTCAGAGAGGATCCTTGGAGAGATCTCTTCATCTGCTAGAGAGTTGAAGTTGAGGAAGAGTTATGGGGTAAAGGTGCTCTGTGTGACCGACCAGGTGTATAGGCTGAAGGTTTATGTGGTTGTTGGGTTTTTGCTCCATTTCAGAATGGATGTGGACTCTGTGACTTCACCACGTACATCAGTCACCTCAAAACATCTGGCCTGTGCTGAAGAGAAAAAGCCCCAGTGCTGAAGTGGGAAACTGCAGCTGCTACCAGAGCAGGTAAGGGATCCTATGACAGCGTGCATTTAAAGCGTAGCTTGTTCATCTCCTGCTGCCTCAGCTCTTGAGGGGACCATGTGTCTGTAGATAAGCAGTGTAAGGTTTGACTGTTATTGAGGCACCTTTTCCTGCCTCCTCTTCCCCTTTCACTGCAGTACTTTATTGTCCCTTGAGCAAGTTTTGGAGTGCTTCAGAGTTCTCTTTGAACCCCATGGTGTTACTGACTCTGGCCAGCTGTGTCCCAGCTATGTAAGGTGACTGATCCCGTGGCTCTGCTGGTGGTGTGAGGGCGTAGGGCACTTCCCTCATGCAGGAGTAAGAAGGGATATTTCTTGCAGCAGCTCAAAGCCTCTGACCACCTAGTGTCACAGCAGCAAGCCCCCAAATTCTGTGCTCCTGAATTCCCACCCTGCCATGATGCAAGGCTGGTTGCTCACAGAGATGTGTGGTGTTAGCAGCTCAGCAGAGCTCGGGACACAATTCCAGAGCAGAAAGCTTTCACTGGGCTCCTCGTTCCCCAGGTTACCAACTTTGAGCTGTCAGTATTTTAGGGCTGACTGGGAGATATTTTTAGAAAAGTTGTTGGTTTCTTTCTGATTGAGAAAGCTCCAGAACAAAGAGGCTTTGGGGAAAGTGAAAGGGCAGCAATCTGTCAGTCAGATCTTGCCTAGAAAAGACCAGTCCAGCACATTTGTCACTTTGAGCTACCAGTTACCCGTGTGACAATAAGGAAGCAGGTGCCCTCTTCTAAGACTTTCCTGCATTCTCATCCCATGACAGTTCATCCCTGTCACTGACAGGGTTTTTGTCCTAGTAATCATAAACCAAAATCCAGGATGTGAGACATGATATAAAATGTGACATATACATGTGATGGCTTTTGCATTTTGAAGTCTGTTGGTGTGTACTAGCAACCTATGTAGGGGCTTTGATTAAGCAATGGATCCATAATGCCTTATGCTTGGAGAAGTCTGAGGAGCTTCTGTTGGACTTCTCTTACAGTAAGAGGGAAAGATGCAAAATAGGTTGAGAAGGGACCCACCTGGGTTGTCTTCTCATGGGAGGAGGACTCCAGCCTAAAAGAGGATCCCAGGCATGAGAGGCACACAGGGAGTGTGTCCCAAGGGCGGCTGGATTATCCACAAAGACCAGGCACCTTGCAGGCGTTTCCTGAGCTATTTGGTAGCCGCAGGGATCGAAGGCACAGCTTTCAGATGGGAATGACTTGATTGCTGAGTGAAGTGCAGGATGGAGAGGTCTGGTAGGTGAGCTTAAGATGGCTTCAATCCATGGACTGGAATAGCTGCTTCCCCCCCTCTGGGCTACTTAAGGACTTGGCATTGGCCTTTGCACAGAGGTCTTTGGGTTGCGATTGGCGCAACTCACACAACCTCAGTGGGGAAGGGAGACTGGCACTTTGTGCTGTTAAATTGTAAATGAGAAAGGATCCAGACAGCTGCACTCTGCATTGCAGATCAGCAGAGGAGTCAGAGAGCTGTCTGTGGTCATAATCAAAAGGCAGGCTGAAGATTCGCAGATGGCGGAGGTGGTTCAGTTAGTGGTCACGTCCATGCATCTTCATGGTGCTAGAGGAGAGTGCTAGGGAGGCAGCAGCATCAGAAAAAAAAACCCAAAACCCATTTAAAAAGTATAGGGCCCTTGGTAGAACTGGGGAGAAGATGAGCAGCTCTGAGGTGAATGAGTTTGTATTTTTATTTTTTTTTTTTAAGAAGAAAAGTAGTTTGCCAAGAGGTGACTCCAAACTTTGCAGTGTGATACTGTACCCAGACACGAGTGATGCTTGTCTGTGTAAAGGGCTGGCATCTTCAGGAGCTGGGTATCAGTCACTTGCTGACCTGTGCTGTGATGCTGTGAATGCACAAAAAGCAAATTTGCTGGTAATGGGGGAAAAAAACCCCGTTTCTCAGGCAGCGTGAAAGGACAGTCAGTCTACCTGCAGGATCTAAGTCAGAGGGTAACCCTGGATTTCTTCAATTGTTGTCTGCTTTCTAGTTCTGTTTGAAAGGGCTGCATCTTCACAAACATGTGGCTTTCCCACTGACTTTTCAGTGACAATGAACACTCCTGTTTCTGACAAGTTATATACAAAATGGTAAAGACCTTTTAGGGAGTTTCAACTGATGCCACTTTGCCGATTTCACTGGAGCCCTGCCTGCATTCACCAGGTGTGGCTCAGCAGGTCTTCCTGAGAAGATCTAATAGAGAAGTTGTGTGAAATAGGAGAATACGTACTCTGCAAGCAAAGTGGGAGGAAGGGGACTGGATTGCAAAGGATTTTTGGAGCAGAATCAATCCTTAGATAAGCACCATCCAATTGGGCTGTAACCACCAGGTCATGTTCATAGGAGCCAGTCTTGGTCCAGATGAAATGAGTTAGTCTTGGCTGTGAGAGAAGCAGCTTCTGTATCAAAGAACTGCTGTCAAATCCAGCTACTTCTGGATTTGGCCTGCCCTTAGTAGCAGCTAAAGCCTAGGACAGATGGCACGGAAGTGATTGTACGTCAGATACAGATGCACAGCTGAGCTGTTTCAAGAAACTGGCATGTAGCGCTCTGTGTTCTTCTGCAGAAAAGATGTGTTGGGGCCCCAGGGCTATCTGACAGCACTGCATTGCCTTGGAATTGAATTATTTTTTTTTAAATGCTCAATAGATATGAATCTCGGGAGAATGACTCAGCTAAAGGAATCAACAAAAAGATTCCTGTTGATACCAGTGTGCTGGTAAATGCAAAGTTTAGGCAGATGGTTCCTTCTGTGTTGCACCTAGAATGATGCTGGTATGAAGACCGACCAGCCAGGGCCAGCACTGGTAGCTTGACTTCATGCAGCTTCTCTGCAGTATAATTGTGCCTGAACCCTTCCACCTGTAAGAATGCAGTAGTGGCCTAAAATACCCCCTAATTCCTTTGCTAAGAGGTCAGGCATTAGGACATGCCTGCCTTGGTGTCAGACAAGTCGTGGCAGGCTGAGAATCATCCAGTGATCTAGGTGGAGTTACAGCCTGCAGAGAGGCCTGTCACCTGTCAGGGAACGTGAGGAAGGAAGACCCATTTTTCAGGGAGACCAGCAACAACTGCACAGACCTCTCAATACAGCAGTTCTGCATTTGCCACTTCTACAGCCCCAGATCTGCCTCTTCAGAATATGGGAAATACTTGAGCTCTTCCATCAGTGACATTGCATTCAGAGTTTGCTGGATTAAGTAAGCTTGTTGCTGTGGGGGAAATATTTTTGTCTAGCTGAGGATTCCCATCCTACCCTGTCATCTGTTCTGATTGTTGTAATAGCAGTTTTTAGAAAACACATTGAATTACCTGCTCATGATTTGTGTTACTGTTCAGAAGTCATCTCTGAGTGCTCTGGCTTGCCATGGGTCTCACTGGTCTATCCCCTCTGCAGCTGTCAGTCTCACAACGGTGCTGTGCAGCTTTATTAAAGCTATCCCAGGGAAGCACAATTCCGGACTGGCTGAAAGCCTCATTCTCTTGCCTGAGGAAGTCATGGGTGTGTGGCACAGATGGCTGTGTGGCACAGTGTAGGGAGGTCAGGGCAGGGTAAAGCTTTTAGTGATAGCTTGACTTTTGAAAGGGAGGGAAAAAAGATCACCTCCCTGGGGACAGCTTGCTTTTTACTGTGGCCTGCTTTGTGCAGTTACCTACACCTGTAGAGCAGAGGGGTTGAGGTCAGTCCCCTGAGGTGACTTTGTCTCCCTCTGCTAGGCTGGCACTATTCCCAGCCCTGCAGGGGGCAGGTCCAGGTGAGGCTGGGAGTGCAGCACCACATAGAACAGCATCAGTCATGTCTCAGACCTGCATCTGGTTTGCGAGCGTGCAGCTGGCTGTCACTGTGGCTGAAACAACAGTTCCCAGGTTGTTATGGCAATGTCCTGACAATAGTGCTGCTGTGTCACACTGATGTTAGTGATCAATTGTTCCCTTGGCTTGTTTTTCTTGTATTATTCAAGCTGGATATAGCATGTGTGTGTAAGTATTGTAGCCTCAGTGCTGCCTTTTTTCCCCTCCTTTTTAAAAGAGGTTAAGTTCAGGCAACTTTATCAGGAAACAGTTGTGTCTACATATAAACAGGAACCTCATAGAATCATATGATCATTTAGGTTGGAAAAGACCTTTAAGATCATAGAGTCCAAGTGTTAACCTAACACTCCCAAGTACCCACTAAACCCTGTCCCTAAGCACCACAACTACATGGCTTTTAAATACCCCCAGGGATGGGGACTCCACCACTTCCCTGGGCAGCCCCTTCCACTGCCTGATAACCCTTCTGGTGAAAGAATTTTTCCTAATGTCCAACCTAAACCTCCTCTGGCGCAATTTGAGGCCATTTCCTCTTGTCCTATTGCTTGTTCTTGTCTACTCTTGATAGAACTGGATCTATTAATAAGAGATATATTTAATTAGTCTTAATGAAATACAGCATGAAATGTAATCACATGCACCCCAACTTAATAGAAAGCCCTGTAATGGGTAAGTGTGTGCTGTATTAGGATTAGGTAATTCCTGAGGAAGGCTGCCACACAGCTCTTCCTCTTTTGCAAAAGCAGCATCTTAAGAACAATAGGGATAGGGTGATAGAACTTACCAAAAAACCCCAAAACCCAAACCCTCAAAAAAACCCCAAATGCAAAACCCCCTCAGCTGTGGGGTAGGGTCAGCAGCAATTCTATGAGTACTGCATGTAAAAAGCAGTAACTCCTCCAAAGACAATACACAAAGCTCTAACAGCTGATCTTGAGTTGTATCCATGTTCACTGTCAGCTCAGATTAACCAGCTGTCAAGTTATTTATTAACTGCTTGAGAGACTTAGTTACTTAATTTTGAAAGTGTAGCCTTCAGTAACACCAGGGGTAGGTGTAGCTTGTGCCTGTGTTGTAATCACAGTGGCGCATTCAGCTTCAATCAATTCCATGTTCTTGCTGTTACCTTGCTTTGGGCTCTTAGGCAAGTGGTAAACAAAGCTGATATTTGACAAAATTCCTAAAAATTGCTTATGATACAACTTCCCCTTCCCCCCCCCGTTAAAAAGCCTTGAAATACTAATTAAGATGGCATTCACCAGGTTTGCAAACAGTAAGCCACTACTGCTGCCACCTTGGCTGCATAAAGACAAAAGGAAGGGACTCATAGGAGCAGTTGTGGGTTTTGTAGCAAGGAGGGCTTTGGAAACCTGTGTCTTCTCTTCAGGCACAGTAAGAGCATGAAAGACAAAACTGTTTTCTTAACACATTAAGAATGTAGGCTTAATTAGGAATTTAGTTAAAAAACATAAAAAAAAATACTGTCAGATGTCCCCCACAGCAGTGAAATGAACACATTACAAAGCAAATATGTGTTAATTTGCATGTATTGACAAAAGTGCCACAAAAATTTGAAATTCTATTTGTCCCTTTGCAAACTGATAAAAAAGCATGATCCAGAAATCTATCCATACATAGCATAAGACTTTTACAGGTAAGACATTTGTACATCCATTTAACCTCAGGTGATCCAATCAGGAGAATTCTGATTTTTCTACTTTCCATTTTCAGCACTGAACATTCGCTCCTAGAAAGAGAGAAGTAAACACACAAGAGCTGAATTAAGAGTTTGGGAACTGGACTGTGCTTTAGCAATGCAGGTTTAAGTCACTACTAAGTAGCAGTCAGTCAACAAGAACAAAAGCCTAGATCAGGTGTACTTGGTGTGTATTCCCCCCAAAAAACCACACTGTTCAATCAAGACTCTGCATAAACTAACAGAAAACTTTGCTTGGCTATACTCAGCCAACCTGTTGTTGGTGCCTCCTAGTGCCAAGTATAAGCATGATTTATTTCCAGCTCACTACCTGAAGATTATTTGTGTGTCTTGTACCGCTGCTGACAGCTAACAAGTTTAGTTAGACTTAAGGGACTTTTCACTTTGAGGGTACTGTTATCTTGATGAGCTGCCAGCCTAAACACTGCCTTGGGCCTCAAACTGCAGGTGTTGCTGTATACTGCTGGCATGAATTCCTTCTCAAGATCCAGTGAAGTTTACCAAGTTCACTTCATTTAGGTGGCCAGTTTGCTAGCTGCCTGTCCTACATAGTGTGTACTGCCTGTATAAAAACCTGATTGGACTTGCTTACATGTTCCTAATCCTTAGGCATACCACAAGGAACTGTGGGTTAGCTGTAGTACTTGGAGGAACGTGAGAGGTGACAACATCTACCTTTAACATCCTCTCCAGTTTAATTGCATCTGCAGAAAATTTTCTGATCCCATCAGATAATTTCTCCACAGCCATTTGGTCTTCGTTATGGTGCCAGCGAAATGCCTTCTCATCCAGGTGGATCTTCTCAAGCTCACATGCCTGAGCTGTGCAAGGGGAATTGAAAAGAAACAAACATATCGGATTATTATCAAATACCACAGGCTTCCTAGAACAGTCTCAAGATTCTGATCATCTCCAGCTGTTGAAAAATTTCAACCACCACTTTCAACACCACTTGCTACATGAGCGCACTTTGGGCTGCAAGACTGAAAATGCTCCTGATCTGGTTGGGAGGAAGTCACCTAGATAATCCCTTTCTTAAAATGCAATGTTTACACGTATGCCATAATCTTGTATCTGCTGCTGAATGGTACACTACTTTCAGGCTTATTATCAAGAATTATGCAACAGTCCTACCACAGTGAGACATTCTAAGCAAATAGGCTGAACAATTAGGTCTTTATTTGGCAGTACCTAACAAAAGCTCGATTGATAACATGCCTACAAGCCCGCTAGCACCCTGTAAGCAGCAACTCATGACTACAGCTGCACACAAATCTCATCTTCTAAGCTGTAACAGCATTTTAATATGGCTACAGAAAAGCAAAAGTAGTGCAATGGGAACATGTGTTCAAAAGCATTGTGGCACAGTATCACTAGGTCAAATCACTTAGTCTTGCACGTGATTAATTTCTAGAGTTTCTGGAGGGAAAACACACCTTTTGGCATGTTTAAAGCTAACTGCATCACTGATGCAGTATTACCATAAGATTAAACTGGTTTTGGCATCTTTGCTTAATATTCAGTCCCAAGCATATGAAGTATAAAGTTCCTTCTGCTCTCCCTGTCCTCTCAGGAGAGGGTACAGAGTATTTAAGCACACTCAAACCCCATCGTAATTCCAGTCAGTGTACTCAGTGGGACCCAGGACCCTACAGAAGCGACTGTGTGGCAGCAACTGTACCAGTACTGTTGTAATGAAGCTACAGTATTTCCATCAGAGAGGGGTCAACGTTTATCCTTAAAGAAGAATGGAAGCAAGCGCCACAGAGCAGAGTGGAACCACATATCCTTTAATGTTCAAAAAGAAAGGGAGACTGAGCAAGCCCATTTTATGTAGAAGTGGACTTACCCTCTTTTACGCTGAGCGTGGGAGTTAACTTCACATACTCTTTGCTGAGCTCTGCCAAAAGCTTGGGTGAAATAGTGAGATAGTCACAGCCCGCAAGTGCTTTTATTTCTCCCGTGTTTCGAAAGGAAGCACCCATCACAATAGTTTTGTAGCCAAACTTTTTGTAGTAGTTATAGATCTTAGTGACACTCTTCACTCCTGAACAGGAGAAATTGGCAACTGTCAGAATAATTCACTTGAAGTACAAACATGTTACTCAGAACCATTTTTTTCATTAAGAGGATTTATACAAGTAAGCTGCGGTTTGAATGAGGAGCTGTTGCATTTTTAACAATACGTTAAAAGGAAAGCTTACCTGGATCCTCTGCAGGCTCATAGGTTTTCTTATCTCCGTTTGCAACATACCAATCCAGGATACGTCCTACGAACGGGGAGATCAGAGTAACTCCAGCTTCAGCACAGGCAACTGCCTGGGCGAAGGAGAACAGCAAGGTCATGTTGCAGTGAATCCCATACTCTGCTTCCAGAACCCTGCAGACACAGACTGGCTTAAAACAGCGGTTTGCTCACCTACTGAATTTACATGCTAGTAAGTTAAAACTACTGAATTTCTTGAGTTAAATTCAGAATGTGGCACAGTTTATAAGCTTTAAAGTTTAAAGCTAACAGCAAGTGTTTTGCACTGCCAGACTCTTACTTTATTTAATGCTATTCCTTGAACCAAACGCAGACAACTTTGCATGGTATTTCAGGAAACACTGTTTGTGGCCTGGCCCTCACATGAACAAACTTTTCCTATTTCAACAGAAAGCTGTAGCCCTAGTAACAGACTTCCTGATGCAGTGCTTTCAAAACAAGTCTGTAAGTGCAGAATGCATTTGTCAGGTGCCTGTGAACAGGCAGAAGCACACTATGAATCAGCATACCAGGTACAGAAATACTTACTTGCCAGCCTGGATTCCTTCCCACGTTGAAGAGAGCTTTATGAGAATACGATCTTTACCAATTCCTGCTTCCTTATAGAGGTCAATGAGGCGCCTGGCCCTTTGAATCATTCCTTCCTTATCAAAGGACAACCTTTGAAACAAGAGCAGGACTGCTTAAAACTGACTTTTTTTTTTTTAATGCTCTCCCCCCCAAACCCTATTGAAAAACTTTGTCTGTTTTATCAGCTTTTATATGCCAGTAGCAGGTTTTTGTTCTCGGAGATACTTCCTGGACTATGAGCCCATCACACATGTGTACGACAGCACTGCTACTCTCTGATTCAGAGGATCCAGAGCTCAAGATAGCTTTCCTTGAGAAAGTTATTGACTACAGTTTTCCATAATGAATGCAGAAGTGAATTGGCAATGAGTAGGTTAACAGACAAATCCTATGCAAGTCTTGAAATAAACTGTTAAAACACATCTCTTGCTAAATTGTAAAGACATTATCACACGGAAGAGAATGAACTCTTAAGTGTACTGGAAGCAGGAGGTTTCCCTTGCTTAAGGAACAACAAGATGACAAAAATCCAAGCTCAGTATTACTTGTTTTCATAAAGTTTTAGCAGCAAGTTATAATCAAGCAAACGAACTAAATTCCATTCTCTAATTAAACAAATATTAACTATATAAACTCTTGCTAGCCTTACAACAGTGAGCTGTCTAGTCACGAACATCTTTCTCCAACTCACATCGTGTCTCTTTGTGTATGTACAAATATCCAGGGTAACCCAGAGGAAAAAGAGCCAACCTTGCATCTACTTCTGTGGACACACGGCCAGGTATCCTCTTCAATATTTCCGCTCCAAATAATACAAAAAGTTTGTCACAAGCATTTTTGATCTGCTCCTCTTCTGACCTGAAAACCACAAAGAGCAAAATCATTTCTAAGGGGGGCAAAAAAAAAAAAAAAGCACATTCACACCTTGCCACGGATTTGAAGATCAAATTTTGCAGCCCATTGAACATTAAATTCCAGAGTTCCAATAGCCACTTTGCTGTGCTCCATGTTTATGTTCTGCCCTCTGTGTTCCACCAGCAGTATTAGCCTTTGGGTACTGTTTCCTATAATGCTGTCAGCTCAGGAGTGTTTTCCTGAGCAGTCCTAGAAGGCCACCTGAGAACTGGTAAATGGAGATGCACTTCAAAGTACACCTGAAAGGAGCATATGACATTTTTCTTTAACAGCTGAGGCTTTCTGGGGCAGGAGATACGCCCACGAGTACATGAGGGGAAAACCCCAGTACATTGCTAGTACTACTAAACACTATTTATATAAATAAGGCACGTTAAATACAGATCTACCGAGATAAAGAAACCTCTTTACTTACCCGCCAAGTTTTTTCCCATAGGCAACAGCATCATCCACAAGTTCCTGGTAAGCTGGCATCTGAGCAGCAGCTAATATCAGAGATGGGTTTGTGGTGGCATCTAGGGGCTTGTACTCATCAATTGCTAGGGAAATAAAAGCAGCCTGTTCAAAACCATCAGTAGGCCTGAGCAATTAACGGGATTTTGCTCAGATGTGTGAGAATGCAAACACTTACAGCTGTAGGATAGTAGTGTTCGTGATGGAGCAGACTAGTGCAAAACGGGGTTTAAATACCACTGCCTGAAAGCTGGCTTGTGCCACAAGTACCACAACAAGGTTATCAGAGCTACAGTAGTAAGATACAGCAAAGTATAAGGAAATAAACTTGTGGAAGTGACAGATGAAGAGAAGTGGTGCTAATTCTCAACTTCTCATCTCTGTCCGTATCATATTCGCCAGCATAGCTGAGTTCCAGGAATCACAGGGGGAAAGTAAAGACCAGGGGGGTCTTTCTTCCCTTCCAGCAGTTAGACCTGTGGGTGGTTGTTTGTCTACAACCAGAACAGGAAAAAAGGCATCTGTTCAAAGAGTTGCCAGAGCCTTACTGCATTTTAAAGCCTTTTCAAACAGTTGCAAACCATTTCTTAGTATCCACTCTTGTCATTTCCTTGAACTCCCAGGCTTCCTTCCTTGTAGAAGATATTTAAGCCTTTGGCTTACCTTAAGCCCTGGACTACACCTGTTTCAGGTGATACCAGTTGTTTACCGGAGTAGGCTGTGACTGTGTGTTGCCTGGCCCTAATCACAGCTGAGCTGCCTGGCATGCAGACCCTGACTCAGCACGTGGGGGTGAGCCTCTGCAGGCCCTTCCATGATTTCTGCTTACAAGCTCCCTTGCTAACACAGCTAAGTGTCAAAAAATAACAAAATGTTTATTACCAGCTCATTTTCCTCAGCGTTTTTGCATGGGGATGAAAACCCAAGTTAGTGAGCACAACTTTATATTTTTTTCAGTCACAGAAGAAAGTAAGTGGTGTTTTTCCGTAGCTCCCTCCTAGGCAACAACCATGATTCTGGAGCAGGCCCACTCCATACACAGACACCCTTCAAAACACTCTTCAATTCACATAGATACTGCTTCAAATAAAGCAGCGTGCCAGTGAAACTCAGTTCTGAAGCACATGCACAATTTTAGAGAAGTCTCTTTTGACAGAGCTTATTACTTCTCTCCAGCCTTCCAGCATTTGAAGACTCTCACGGGTATCTGGCAACATGCGTCTGTCTGTCCAACAGTCTGTCACCCAGCTTTCCTCACCCAGCCTTCCCTTCGCTCTGCCAGCGAATGGTCCATAGCCTGTGCTTTAGCTGTGCAGTACAAGCTTTCAGCCGGGGGGTGTCTGTGACCGCTGTGCCACCTTTCCTCGTTGCGAGCACAAAGCAAGCCGGGCACAAGAGTAAGGATGTACCGGTCTGGCTTAGGGAAAAAGCAAACCTAGTGCAGCGACTAGAGAAGCCACTTACACCACCACTTACTCCAGGTGC